ACACACACACACACACACACACACAGTAAAGAATTTTTCATTCATTTCGTATAGATTCTTTTACAGACATCGGAGAATTTATTGTCATATAATACTGCAGACAAAAATACATCGAAAAAATCAAAAAACGTACAGCCCTTCTTATTGTGTAATATGATTGGCCAAAAGAAAAAGGGAAATTTTTTTATTCAAACGGATGGACACTTAATTTCAGTGGGCGATGATCCGATGATAGCATTCGATATTCTTATTAAACTTCATTATTGTTTTGACGCTCATTTTGCTTCCGATTTAACTAATTTTTATGATTTTATAACCGGATGCATCATGAACCTAAATGAACCCTGTGCTTGCTGCACGGCATTGCACATAACTTTAACAAATATTGAACTTGTAACACAAACTTCAACGCAATCTGTCGATAGTGACGAAAATATCAGGTATAATATTTATATAATAAGTTTAAACTATATATACGCTTATAAATTACGAAAACTTTTTCAGTGGAGATACTGATTGTAAAAATAACTGCTGCAGTAATGAAGAAGAGTCATTGTCATACTCTGATTAAGATACAAAAATATAAGAAAAATTCACTCATACAAAATATGTACACTGCTCAAAAAAATTATGGCATAGAAGAATTTTGAGCAAAAATTGGTCAACTTTGGTTAACGGTAACTCCGCAAAAAATCATCGTAAAATGATGAACTTTTTTTCAAATGAAAGCTTGAAATCTCTACTTTAAAATATTGTTAGTCGATTTTAAATTTAATGCACCCGTATGGCTGTAAACTCTTAAATCTGAGAGCATGTTTGCCACACTGAAAATTGCAAAGTTTGAACGAGTGCACGGACTTGCTAAAATTTTTCCCGGGGATGCGGTTTCCAGCGTCATAAAGTTGGAATCTTTCTCTTTAATTTGAAAAAAAAAACAAGTCGCTACAATTTTTTTTCACAAAGTTACAGCATTTTGAAGTAACACTTGTATTTTTCTCATGTATGTTCGGCATTATCCGATGTGCACTATAGGGAGGTTGGCAAACGGATTTTGCACATTGTGTGAGTGCGGGCGTGTGAAATAATAGCTTATGACGTGAGTCAAACACAGGTGTGAAATTATTATTCTTACAATATATTCAATATCCACACAAGATCAGTGCGCCGCGCGTCAGCGATGGTGCGGCCCTCGGCAGTAGAGATCTGTAATAAGGCACGGACTTGATTATCGGCTCCGATGAAGTTCGTGCCACAATAGAATGTATGCATTTTTTGCAGTTTTTTTATTTTCGCAGTTGTGAATACTTTTACTACATTTCACATCACTCCAAGGAGTGATCTTTATAAATGTACACTGTAATATGTAACATTCCATGCAAGAATTCCGATTGATTTTATTGGCTCATTATTGGAGCCGTCATATTAATAAAATTTAGCTTTTAATTAAAGCATGTTCGTTATAAAAACT